TACTACTACTACTACTACTACTACTACTATTACTACTACTACTACTACTACTACTACTACTACTACTACTACTACTCATACTACTACTACTACTACTACAACTACTACTGCTACTACTGCTACTACTGCTACTACTACTGCTTCTTCTACTACTACTACTACTACTACTACTACGACTACCACTATTACTTTTGTGTTTCCGATTGCTGCTACCATCACTACTACTATTCCTACTGCTGCTACAGGTGCTACTATTACTATTACTACTACTTCTGCGATTACTACCTGTACTCCTCCTCCTACTACTACTACTACTATTATTACTACTACTACTACTACTACTTGTACTACCCCTACTACCACGATTACTACTGCATACTACTACGATTACTACTACTACTACTACTACGACTACTACTACTACTGCTATAGTAGTAGTACTACTACAGGTACTACTACTACTACTACTACTACTAGTACTCATACGACCACTACTTTTACTACTACTACTACTACTACTACTACTACTACTACTGCGACTACTACTACTACTACTACTACTACTATTACTACTACTACTACTACTACTACTACTGCTACTCCCACTAATAATACTAGTTTGACTACTACTACTACTACTACTACTGCTACTACTACGACTACTACTACTACTATTACTACTACTACGACTGGTATTTGTATACGACGCCGACGGCGACGACTATCATTATTGGTCATATTACCATTGCTTTCTTACGGCTACACTTGTCATTATTATTACCACTGCTACAACTATTACTACTACTACTACTACTACTACTACTACTACTACTATTGTTAGTATCTCTACGACTACCGCGATTATTACCCCTACTACCACCACTACTACTAGTACTACCGCTAGTACTCGCACTACTGCTACTTCGACGAGTGCTATAGTTATTATGCGTATGGCTGCGACTGCTACCTAGCACTACGGCGACGACGACGACCTACTACTAATACGAATACTACTGCGACTAGTTCTGTATATTATAACTACTACTACTACTACTACTACTACTACTACTACTACTACTACTACTACTCCCCCGACCCATACGAGTACAGCTGATATTACGACTGCTACTACGACTACAACGGCTTCACTTGTTTCACTACTACCACACATACTACTACTACGTCGTATTCTAGTACTACCAGTCCTACGACTCCTTCTGTAGTGGCACTACTGTTGCTACTACTAGGAGTTGTTTTGCGACTACGGTTTTTACTACCACTACCACCACCCTTTCTGAAATCACTACTAGAAATCTTATTACCGCTACTACTACGACTTCTACTACTACTACCCGTAGTGCTGTTACTACTACGATTGCTACGGCGCACGCTATTCCGACTATGACAACCACCACTATTATTGATGTGTTTCACGACTACCAGTGCCATTTTTACAGCAACTACTACTACTACTACTACTACCCATACTACTACTACTACTACTACTACTACTACTACTACTACTACTACTACTACTACTACTACTACGACTACTACTACTACTACTACTACTACTGCTACTATCACTACTACTACTACTACTACTACTACTACTACTACTACTACGACTACTACTTCTATTACTGCTACTACTGCTACTACTTCTGCTACTGCTGCTACTACTACTACTACTACTACTACTACGAGTATTACCAAGACTAGTACTACAACTGATGGGGGTACTATTTCTAGTACTACGACTACCAGTACGACTGCAACTATGACTACTGCCGATTCAAAATCTGAGGAAGGACGAGGGGAAGGATTTGTTTTTTTGGCCAGGTGATGGCTAAGGGGAGTCCCCTCCTTCATTAAGGACTGCCCGTGTTTAGTTTGATCGGCAAGTTGTTGCAAACCTCGTGAGACTGTCACTGTTCCCTTGCAGTCTTGACACATCGTTTTGTCGTACCGTTTTTTCGTGTACTGTCAAATGGAAAGCCCAGAAAGTTACGACTGAGCGGTTTCGGAGGTATTCTTGTGAGGGATGCGATTGGGTCGACTCGGAACGACTTAACAAGACCGTCTGCGCGCCCCCGCCACATGCATTGCCAGAACAACTAATTATTGAGGAGGTTCAGGTGAGGAAGGAGGGAGAAGGTGACAGAGGACGGGGAAGAGGAGGGAGATGAGATGGCCAGTCAGCAGGCAAAGGAGGAACAGCAGGAGGGTGCTGAGATCTTCTTCTCCTCCGTCTCCATCGTATATGCCTCCTTGTGTCCTTTGTGTCTCTCCTGCTCACCCCCTCTGCGCTTCTCTGTCTTCGCTCTGGTTTCCCTCCTGCACATCCCTCCCTTCCCCTCCTTGTATCACGCTCTCCCTCTCTCTTGCTCTTGTTGTTCTTGGTGTCGTGGTCACCCTCCTCCTCTTCTTCTTCCTTCCCTCCCAGATCCAAACTTTTGATTTCCTGTGCATGCAGTATGTGTGTACACTATAGTGCTTGCTTGACAGTCGGCACTCCATGGATTCGAGGGTTTCAGTTCAGTTCGTCCTCCTTCTACTCTTCCACCTCCCTCCGCACTGGCGGAGGGGTAAGAGGTGGATCGAGGATCAAACATCTGGGCGGCGTGGGCTCTTTCGGCCATCCCTTGTGCTCGAGGCTGGCTTGCTTCTGCACTGCCGGCCGGCACGCACCTCCGATGATACGGCCGTGGCGACCAGGGGATGTCCCCCCGCCTGCCCAGAATGCGTGCAAGACGGCCAGGTGCCTCGTTCTCTGCTGCCTCCCTTGCCCCGCATCCAGGGGAACAAAAAGTGGCATAAACATAAAAACTTGGAGAGTCACGCGGATTTCTCCGATCGGCGCTGGACCCCCCTCCCTGGCGCGAGGATCGCACCAGGGGCGGCGCCGGAGGCGCTGCCAGGGGGGTCCAGCGCCGATCCGAGAAATCCGCGCGGACCTCCGAGTTTTTCTGTTTACGTCACTTTTTGTTTCCCTATCATCCTCCTCATCCTCCTGTTTCTGTCCTCTTCGTCCTCATTCCCCCCGTGCCTCCTCGTGCCTCCTCGTGCCTTCTGATGTGGGATCTCCCTCATCCTCCTTCTGCCCTTCTCCCCCCCCCACGCGGAGGTGCACGACGCAACGGTCGCGATGACGGAAATCAACTTCTTGTGCGTCCACAAGAAGTTGCGGTCCAAGCGTCTCGCGCCGGTGGGGGCTGCGAGGGGAGGGAGGGTTCAGCACGTGTGGCGCCGCGGTTCAATGCCGACGTCTGTCCTCGGCGTTGGCCTGAGAAGGCCCGTTCCGAGCCCAAACGCATTCTGAGCAAAGCCGGGATGCAACACGAATCCCCAGAAATGGGTTTGAGACGACTGCGAGGTTTGAGGCCACATGGAAGATGTCCCCGTCGCGGTCGTCGCCGCTACCGCCGCCGATGCCGTCTTCTTCGCCACCGTCGTAGCATGGGAAGAACATCTGAGGAGGACGATGAGGAGTCTGGAGGTGCATGAGGAAGGCGAGCAGATGGAGGCGCATAATCTTGCGGAATTACGACGCGTACTTGGATGATGGTCTCTACGATGAGTCCATTCGCCATGCGATATTGGAGTGTACAAGGATCATCTCAGTAGGAGGAGGAAGAGGAGGAGTGGGAGGGTAAGAGGAGTTGGAGGAGGAGGAGGAGGAGGAGGAGGAGGAAGGGGCCTTACGGAGGAGGACGAAGAGTGAATGGGCAGTAGCAGCAACGGCGTTGGTATATCCGTGGTCGGAAACTGGCCCGCCAACTTCGGCGTAATTCCGCTGATTTTGGCATATTTCCGCCCAATTCGGTTGAATCCCCGGCTTAATCTGGCATAATCGGGCTTAGTGGTCCCGCAATGGATTTAATAGTTTTTTAGTGCTTCTCTCGAAAACCTCCCAGGAGTTGCTTCCTGGCGCAGACAAATCGGGAGCGGCAAAGAGGGGGGTGATGACCAGGGGGGGTGGATATCCTGGCGCGGGCCATGCTATTTCCCCAGATTTCAGGGCGCCTCTTCGTGTCCAGTCGCTTTCCTGGCCCCCTCCTCGGGCCGCGCACGTGCCGCGGGCCATGATCTGCGCCCCCCCTCCTCGGACGCCCCCGCCGGCGGCGCGAGATCCACACAGCACCTCTCAGGAGGAAAAGAAGCACGCAGACACGATTCGTCGCCGATTCCCCAGAACATATGGGAAACCATGGGAAGTGGGGGGGGAGGCAAAATCTCAGAAAATATGACAAAATCTTAGAAAATCTTAGAAAATCTTAGGAAATATGGCAAAATCTTAGAAATCTTAGAAAATATGGCAAAATTCGTGTGTAAAAATTTATGCCTGTGCCCCCCGGCCGAGCGCGTGGGCCTCCCATGGCGGGCCCGAGGTCCGAGAACACACGCCCGGCTCGCCGCCGCGCGTCGAGGCGGCGGCCGCCACGCCGGCGCGGGCGCGCAGAGTGCTTCAGTCTCAGGAGGGGAAGAAACACACAGACACAATTAATCGTCGATCTCCAGGAGAATATGCGAAAATATGGGAAGTGGGGGGAAGACAAAAACCCAGAAAATGTGGGAAAATATGGGGGATATGTTTATTTGTGTGTATTTATTTGTGTGTCCCAGTTCCCCTTCACAGTCGGGGCTGGACAGAACCCCCAATAGTGACACGTCGATTAGTGAATTGTCCGTTTTCGGTTCTCGAGAGGGCGCCGTGGCCGTCCGTTTCCAGGCTTTCGCCCGCCAGATTTGGGCCCGAGGTCGTTTTCACTAAACCACGTTTTGCTAAACGGGGCTCTGTCCATCCCCGATTCAGGGTCGGGTCTGCCGCGCCATCGCCACGGGAGGGCTCCGTGCTTCAGAGCCCCGAATCATCAGGGGTAACTCGGGTCAGGGCCAACTCGGGTTCGTTTTTCGGGAATCCGAACCCGACTTGCCCCGGACCCGAGTTACCCCGGATAACTCGGGTGCCCAGAACCCCACATCATCAGGGGTAACTCGGGTCAGGGCTAACTCGGGTTCGTTTTACGGGAATCCGAACCCGAGTTACCCCGGACCCGAGTTACCCCGGATAATTCGGGCGTCCAGAGCCCCACATCATCAGGGGTAACTCGGGTCAGGGCTAACTCGGGTTCGTTTTTCGGGAATCCGAACCCGACTTACCCCGGACCCGAGTTTACCCGGATAATTCGGGCGTCCAGAGCCCCACATCATCAGGGGTAACTCGGGTCAGGGCTAACTCGGGTTCGTTTTTCGGGAATCCGAACCCGACTTACCCCGGACCCGAGTTTCCCCGGATAATTCGGGCGTCCAGAGCCCCACATCATCAGGGGTAACTCGGGTCAGGGCTAACTCGGGTTCGTTTTTCGGGAATCCGAACCCGACTTACCCCGGACCCGAGTTCCCCGGATAATTCGGGCGTCCAGAGCCCCACATCATCAGGGGTAACTCGGGTCAGGGCTAACTCGGGTTCGTCGGGGGTTCGTTTAATCCAGAGAATCCGAACCGGGTCAGGGACGGGAATACCCCGGACCCGAGTTTCCCCGGATAATTCGGGCGTCCAGAGCCCCACATCATCAGGGGTAACTCGGGTCAGGGCTAACTCGGGTTCGTTTTTCGGGAATCCGAACCCGACTTACCCCGGACCCGAGTTACCCCGGATAATTCGGGCGTCCAGAGCCCCACATCATCAGGGGTAACTCGGGTCAGGGCTAACTCGGGTTCGTTTTTCGGGAATCCGAACCCGAGTTACCCCGGACCCGAGTTACCCCGGATAATTCGGGCGTCCAGAGCCCCACATCATCAGGGGTAACTCGGGTCAGGGCTAACTCGGGTTCGTTTTTCGGAATCCGAACCCGACTTACCCCGGACCCGAGTTACCCCGGATAACTCGGGCGCCCAAGTGCTGCTGGAGAGATTGCGGGACGCGAAACCAGCCACTGCTTTTCTTCTGTTGCCGCCTTCCAGCCGCGGCTCTTCTTCTGCTGCCGCCTTCCAGCTGCGCGTGTGACTCCACAGCCACTGCTTTTCTTCTGTTGCCGCCTTCCAGCCAGCAGAAACAAAGCAGTGGTTGGCCACGTGGGCGCCGGCGTTCCGCGCGCTGGGCAAAAGTCAGGGCACCAGGGGCTTGGGCATTGCCGTCGCCTCCACGTGCTTCGGTTCGAGGCGTCAGCATTTAGGGTCGCATCGTGTCTTCAGGAGGAAGGCGACTTCGACGAGGATGACCAGTTTGGACAATCGTGTCGACCCCGTGGCCATCACACATCGATATAGGATGGGAAACCGCCCAGGGTGGATTTTGAAATTTATCCAGGAATATGGTCGGGACGAATTTGTTTGGGATCAAGCGAGATGCCTGGGGATAACAGAAGGCGGAGGAGGATGGCAGGAGGAGGACGAGGAGGAGTTTTTTCTTGGCCATGTTGGCCTGTGTTCTCAACGTGTTTGGCCCCCGCAGGTGCTGATCAAAGAGATCACGCGACGGGTGAACAAGGAGAATGTCTGGCAAGCGGTCGGGCTGCGCTGAGGAGGGGCGGCGAGCAGAGGATGAAGGAGGATGAGAAAGTGATGTGCGAACCATAGCAACACCTTAACGGAGACGTTGCAAAATTTGACGAGCGAGTCCGTGCCTCCCAAATGGAGTCCGAGCGGATGGGCTCGGAGGATCGCGCCGCATCGCCGATGCATCGGCGATGCGGCTCGATGTGGGGCCCGATTTTCTCCACGCCGACGCCGCCGACGCATCGGCGATGTGGCACGATCCTCCGACCCTGTGTGCTCGAACTCTTTCTGGTGAGGCACAGAAGTATGGTTCAGGGTGTGAGCTTGCCAGCTCCTCCTCGGCCTCAGGGCATGGCGCACGGAGCGCGCCGGGGGGGCGTTGGGGAAGCGCCACGAGGGGGCTCAAGTGCCGGTCCAAGATGTTCTTGCAGGCCTTCGAAAGTTCATGGTTGTGACATTTCTTTGTTACTCGATCCATTCTCCTCAACCTCGACCCCCAGGTTGATCCTGGATCCCAGGACTGAGACGAATCTGGTCGTAGGGAGGACTCCCGATCAGGAAACACCGCGCGTCGAGTCTCAGCTGTAGGTGCGCGTCACGAATCGCCGCGTGGAGGGCCATCTGTCCCGCGATTGGCACTTGGGGTCCGCGCTATTGAATTCGGCGTCTTGTTCGGCTGTGGGTTGGAGCAAGACGTTGCTTACATGCTGTCCGCAAGGCCGAATGCCCAGGACGAACAGTTGATTCCCGGGGAAGTCGGCGAAGGACCTGGGTGTGCCTGTTGCGCCTGGTCGTTGTGTATGGAGTGCCTGGTCGGTGTGCTTGTTGTGCCTCGCGTGCCTGGGCTGTGCGCCTTCTGTTCTTGGTCGGTATGCCATTTCAGCCTGTTGTGCCTGGTCGTTGTGTCGGATGTGTCTTATGTGCCCACTTGGTCTGCCTGGGCGGTGTGCCTGTGTTTCCTGGCCGGTGTGCGTGTAGTGCCTGGTCGGTGTGTCTGGTGTGCCTGTTTGGCGTGCCTGGTGTGCCTGTTGTGCCTAGTCGGTTTGCTTGGCTTGAGCGACGCGCTTGGCAAGTGCGCCTTATGCGCCTGGTGTGCTTGGGCGGTGTGCCTGTTGTGCCTGGTCGTTGTAGTCGGTGTGCATGACGTGCCTGGTCGGCGTGCCTGGCGTGCCTGGTCGGTGTGCTTGGTGTGCTTGGTCAGTATGCCTTGCGCGCCTGCTGCGCCTGGTGACCATCGCCATCCAGCACAATCTCGATAATCCAATTCGCTATCACCATCTGCACCTGTCATGCCACCACCGCCGTCAGCCCAAGCATCAGTCTCATCACACTCATCATATCCATCGTGAATGGGCGTATCACGCCCCATCACGGCGCCTCATCACCATCACCTCCACAATATCATCACCACCCTTGCCCCATCACCACATTAATCAATTTAATCGTCACCACCATCATTAACCTACCGCGGGCGATCATAATCACCAGGGGATAATGGAGTTCGGGGTTCTGGTGGGGATAATAAAAGATATTCCCGGGGATGAGGATAATGATGATGGTGGTGATGATGACGATGATGATGCTGATGATGATGATGATGATGATGATGATGATGGTGGTGATCTTGGGCGCTCGGCACAAGGCTCACTCGAGCGATCTCGAGGCTCGTGGCTGTACGACTTGCCAGCAGGCGTTCGGCACAAGGCTGACTCGAGAGATCCCGAGGCTCGTGGCTATAAAACTTGCCAGCGTGCGCTCGGCACAAAGCTCACTCGAGAGAACTCGAGGCCCGTGGCTATAAACTGGCCAGCAGGCGCTCGGCACAAGACTGACTCGATAGACTTCGAGGCTCGTGGCTATACAACTGGCCAGCAGGCGCTCGGCACATGACTGACCCGATAGACTTCGATACTCGTGCCTACATTTGGTCAGCGTAAGAGAGGTCCTTGGCCGATCTGGCCATGAGGCCTCTCCTGTGCTGGACTTCGAACCACTACCCCACGCAAGCACGACATCCTTTGGAGCCGTCCTTGCATGGGCGACACTTGGTGCAACGGTGGGCGGCGGCGCTTGCCTCCTTGAAGGTGGCGTACTTCGGCTCGGCCGCCGCGGGGTCCTTGCAGGGTTGGACTTGTGCTTGGCATTGGCCTTGGCCGTGGCTTTGCCCGTCGCCAACCAAGTCGTTGTCGTTGGGCTCCTTGAGCCCGTTGATACACTCATTGCTGCGGAGGCACATCACGTTCAGCGACACGGGCGTTTGGCGGCCCTCGCTTCGGATCTCGCGCAGGGCGCGCTCGATCCAGCGACTCGCCCACAGGCCGCAGCTCCAACCGTCTGCTTGGTACGTTTTGCTGCTCGGTGCTGGGCAATTCTCGCCAGGGCCAATGGCGCCGAGTTTGCGGAGAATCCTCGCGGCGGCCTTGCGAGGCCATGTGCGGACCCTACCCGCGATTTCTGAGGAGGGGGGCGGGGTTCACTTCGTTCGGCAGCTCCCGGACAAAGCCCCCGAGCAAAGTGAACCCTCCCTCCCTTCTCAGAAATCGTGGGGTGTAGATGTGGGTTCGCATGTGGCCCTCTTGGGCCTGCTTGGCGTTTTGGGGCGGCTGCTTGAGGGCGTCGCGGTGCTCCACCGTGACGCCCCCGCCGATCCTCGAGACCTTGGCAGGGATTGCTAGAAATGCCCCCCGCCCTGGGTGCCCCAAGGGCTCGCTCCAAAACGGGGCGAGACATTGGAGGCACATTGGGAGAGGGGCAATTCTAGCAACCGCCGACCTTGAGGTACGTGTAGCGCGCAGGCGCCTCGATGTGCACGCAGACCAGCACGTGCTGGGCCTTGTCGGCCCTCTCGGCCCAACGGTTCTTTTCCTCGGGCTGCTGGGCGGCGGGCGCGTCCTCGCCGCGGCCCTCTCGAGCCCGGGCGACGGCCACCGTGGGCTCGACCGCCAGAACCGTTTCGGGGGCGCCCACGCGCTCCTCGATTTCGCCCAGCAGCGCGCGCACTGTGCCCGGCTCGAGGGCGTCGCCCTTGACGATTTGCTCGCAGTTCATGATCGCGTACTCCTTGGCGAGCACGGTGCGGCGAGGCTGTCTGGTCTGGCGCCAGTCGAGCTTGTGCGGCTTGGGGAACTTGTAGTCCTGTTCGATCGTGGCCTGTGGCGCTCGGGAGTTGCAGGCACTCGCTAGTTTCCGCCTGATTCTTCTTCGTGTTGCTGCCGCGTGCTTCTTGCAGTTTTCCGACAACTTCCACCGTTTCCGCCGTCGTTTCTGCCGTTTCCGCCAACTTCCGTTTGCTTCCGCCCCTCCAGCGGAAGTAGGCGGAAGCCAACGGGCGCCCGTGGCCCCCCCAGCCTCGCCGCTCTCGATCTGGAAGATCGACGCGGCCTCCACCTCGAGGGCGCGCAGGCGGCACTCGTCCTCGGTGACCAGGACTCGCCAGACGTCCTGCACTGTGCCCTGCCTTCGCGGACGCCCTCCTCGGCGACGCGCGCCACCTTGCCGTGCCACAGGGGGGCTCTTCGCAAGCCTCGAGGGAGGACGGTTTCTTCTTGGCCTTGTGATGCTTCTTGGCGTCCTTCTCCGCTTGCGTCTTCTGCGTGAACTTCTTGGAGAAACTCGCGCGCGCCTTCGGCGGCCTGCATGTGAGCTTCGCCTTGGCCGCGCCTGTGCTGAGGTGCTCGAGCGAGGTCTCGCTGCCGTTCTTGGCTTTCTCGCGCCGCCACTTGCGCGCGTGCTTGCCCACGAACTGGCCCGCGAACTTGGGCGCCCACCCGTCCATGCGATGAGCTGCCCGTTTCAGCTCGATCCTGTTCTCGAGGGCTCGCGGGAACATGATATCCTTGATCCGCTCTTCTGGCGTTTTGAGCATGTCCTTCTGCTCGTCGGTGAGCTCGAGGTCCAGCTCTCGGAGCTCCAGGAGACAGGGGTTCTCGCCCTGCTCGCAGCCCCTCGGCAAGTCGTCGTCGTGGAAGCAGCTGCCGTCGTGGACGCCCCACTCGGGCGCGGGCGACGCGCCCTCGGGCCACCTCTGGATGCCCTCGAGGCGCCCCCATCGCCAGTCTGTTCTCGATGCCGCGGCCGGGCTCGATGGAGTAGCTCCACGGCCCCATGCCCGTGGCGACCTTGAGGTCGCCTTGCAGTGTTAGCCGGACCGCGAGCATTTCGTTGGCGTGCAGCCCTTGGAGCAGCACCGCGCCCTTGTTCTTCTCGCGGAAATGGGCGTCCGCTTCGGAGACGCAGCGGAGGCGCTCGTAGGGCCCCAAGTGTGTCACTGACTTGTACTGGTTCTGGGGCTCGCCCGTGGCTTTCTGGATCCAGTCTTGCTCCATGGCCAGTACATCCCGGCCTTGACCTCTCGGATCTTTGCCTTGGGCTGGCTGTGCTCGCGGGCGTCGGGCCCGTGCAAGAAGCTCGCGACGTCGGGGGCACGGGCGCGTAGATGACATTCTTGAGCCGCGCTCGGAGCGCCACTGCCTCGGCCCACTGGCTCGAGAGGCAGTCTGCGAAGACGAGGCTCTGGCCGTGCTCCTGCTTGATGAAGTCGATGGTCCAGATTGCCGCGAGCTCGTCCGTCCAGGCCTTCGGCTGCCCCTGCGCGTCGATGGCTTCGAAGACCCTCGCGCGGCCCGCCTCGGGGAACTCGGGCAGGGCCTTGCGCCAGCCCTTGAGCAATGCCCCTAGGGGCTCGCCTGCTCGGAAGCGCTCCGCCTCGCCGTCGCCCCGCTCTTAGGTGACGTCGCGCCGCCAGGTGCTGTCCTCGAGGTTCGCGTCGCTGACCCGGCAGTGCCTGGCGCAGGGGACAAGGAGCGCGTCGCGTTTCTTGACGGACTTCGGCCCCCTGCTCGGGTCGAGCCAGTTCTCGACCGCGGAGATGTTGACGAAGGTGATCCTGTACTTGCCCCCTGCGCTCGAGTAGGCTTGTTTCGCTTGCGCCTTGTGGTCGGGGTGTTCTGCCAAGTATTTGGCCACTTCCGCCTCGAAGGCTGCCTTGTCCTGGTCGTCGTGCGTCTCGCG